GAATGGAGAGAGGCACCTGCAGCAGGTAAAATGAGGGCAGATTTACCCCCTTACACCCCTGGTGTGTGCCTCTGTGGGGCAGCTGCTCCCTTGGGGTCAGGTCAGAACCATCCCTGACCATACTGTGAACAACTGTGCATTTACAGAAGTGACTGTGTCCTTCTCTCCCTGTCCCCTGTGTGTTTGAAAGGGCTCAGAGTCTCCTATGATGATTGGGGAGCCTAAAAGTGACCTTGATGACGTTGACCCTTAGAGGAGACCCCTGTGAACACAAGAACCAGCTCAAACATTCAATGCCTGGTCCCTGCTGGAACTGGAGTCGTGTTGCTGATGCCGTTGGGAGTCTGGGGGAGCAGTGGCTGCACAGGACCAGAGGAGATGCTGGAGGAGGTTGTTTCCCTGCAAGATAAAAGCATTTTTATAGCCACAAAGGCTTCAGATCAACAAATGCTCTAGAAAACTGCATCCTCACCTGCAGTAGCTTGTGACAGTCCAAAAAACACCGAAACCAAGTTTGTCAAGAAGATTTTATCAGATACACAAACGCTAGTGGTTGAATTTTTATGTGAACATTAAATGAGTGAATGTAAAACTGTTGCTTTTCTGTGATGCTGCAAAAAAAAAAAAATTCTTTTGGTTTTTATACAGGGAAAAAAAAAAAAGAAACAGACTGCCCTTAGGTATGGAGGGCAAATTTTTAATCTTTCTGATAATATTGAATAGGAATATTCAAATTTCTGTAAAGATGTGTGATGACATACATTTCATTGTAAAATATTAGTTAAAGAATGGGTTTACATAAGGACTTCTGTATTTAATATGTCTCCCTGCTAATTTGTAAAGCTCTTGATGAGAAAGATCAGCAGGATTGCTCTGTGCGAAGAGTGATTCCTTATGGAATGAGTTGGTAAAGGAGCTCTGGAATGAGTCATCTTTCCCTCCCAAAAACCCTTCAGACAGCTGGGAAGGGCAGTAAAAGAAAAGCTTTGTTCTCTAGGTATGCAAGCATTTATTATTCAAGGATGTTGGTGAATTAAAAAGGAAAAAAAAAGAAAAAGTTAATGAGTAGTTTAAAAGAAAAAAGCACTTTAAGAAGGAATTCTGTTGCAGTTTTACTCATTACATTTTTTTAACCTTTGGAGACATATTGAATAAAATGTAGTCTCAGTCATGGATCTGCAATCACTTGCTTATGCTTTGAAATAACTGAGAAAGTTGGTATTGGTTGTATATGATGAATAATTCCTTGAGTGAGCTGGGAACACTGTTGTGCAGATTTTAGAGCAATTTTAACACGGGGAAAGAAAGAATTGGCTTTGTTTGCATTTTCACTTGACCAGGCAACGTTTAAAATATCACAGCTCTTTTAATTTGCTCACAAATAACTGGAAACCAGTTGGGATGATTTGAGCACAGTTTTGTTTTCTATGTCAAGTGCAGTTCAGTGATTTCTGGCTCTGGATTCAAGCTTCTTTTGTGCCAACTAACTTCATCTTTTGTACATTTTGTGTTTGTCACATTTTCTGCACTGCTTTTTGCCTTTATTTATGGATTCTGCCTTACTTTGAAAAAATTATATAAACAAACATGCACAGAAACGGGGGACATCTTAAGGAGTGCCTGGGTACCTCCAGAATAGATAAATTTGCCAAGTTAAAGGCACAACCAGCCAAAAAGTGCCTTTTTTTTGTTTCTTTTCACAGGCTGCTGCCAAAACACAGAGCAGCAGACAGCTTTTCACTGTTGTGCACTAATATTGAGAGTAACCAGTCATTTCACTGTTGGAAGGAGCCACGGCATGTGATGTCAGCTGTACAGCTTTGTAACTTATTGTGGGGTAGGATGGAGTGCAGGGGGGCACCACAGTGTCTTCACAGACACAGGGCAGAGCTAGCATTTTGTAAATGTTTCTGATGATGTGCTGGGACGTTTTAAATGTGACGCGTTTTAAATTAATTTCGAACTAATCATTTCTTACGGATGCCCCCCCTTCCTTCCCTCCTTCCCCCACCCCCAAATGCTTTGGTAATGGGCCATGAATCTTCCCAAGGAGTCAGACAGCGGTGATGGGAGAAGCTGGTCATGTTCCCATGGGTTGGCACCACTTGTCACTTCAGGTTCCTGTTATTTCCTATGGAAACAACATCCTCGCTAGCTGCAGGCCCAGGGAAGCCTTGGTGGGAATTGCATCAGGATGGCTCATCACCACTGTCTACCTGAAACCAATACAAACTTTTTCACCCTTCTGCTCACGCTTGTACAAAGTCAGTGGTTATAATTTGCAATAAGATGATACTTGGTCACTTATTTTTGTTTCCAGCTGCTGTCATTCGAACCTGCTGAAGATTATTTTTTGGAAAATAGAGTTCGGCAAAAAAAAAAAAGGAAAAAAAAAACCAAACTAGTTTTTGTGTAAATTGTGATGCATTTATATGTTGTAATTTTTACTGCCAATCTTTTTGGATGAAAATGTTTTTATACAGCTTACAAAATGTTCAGTGAGGAGCAGCCACAGCCTGCCTGTGAGCGCTCGGGGAGATATTGTCCAATTAATGCATAGACATTTGGCACTGGAAAAATAGGCAGTCTTGGGATTCCTGGTCAATGGAATAAAGTTATTCCTTTCACAGAAAACTAGTGTAATCTTTAGACTGTGCACACGCTGTTATACTCTTCTCTTGTTGATCCTCTTACCCTGACCCTCCTTAGACCAGCCCTGCAGGTGCTGAGCTCCTCATGGGTGCCCTGAGTGCTGCTCTGGCTCCTGTCCAGAGTCAGTGGAAGCAGCTGAGTGGCCCTGGGGCTGCCCTGCTGTATTTCCTTATGCCACAGCATGTGCTGGGGCTCTGTCACATCTGCACCTCTGCGCAGCTCCTCGTGCCCTCAGCAGAGTGATTTACCCTGGCCACGCTCACAGGGGCGGATTAGAGCTGATTTTGTGTGTCAGATCTGAGATTTGTGGGCGAGCTGGGTGTGAATTCATCCTGCCTCCCACAGGGGTGAGGGCCAGAGGGGTGCACACACAGCTGGTGTTCCATCACTCGCTTGTTTGGGAGCCAGGAGCTGCAGCTGGGGCTGCCATCCCCCCTCTGCCTTTGTCCCCTGCTCTAAGGACAAGGACTTGACTTTACCAGCCTCTGCTCTCCCCTGTTGGTCCTGGCAGCATGGGCTGGGCATTGCCAAGTGCTGCCAGGACTGGGATCAGCACCCCTGGGATCAGCCCTGCTCTCCTGACTGAGAGGCTTTTCCACCTACTCACATACAAGGCACAAAGCAAGGGCTAATCTTTTAATATTGTTTCCTTCCACCAGGCTTATGAAGGCTTGAGCTGAGCTGGGGAAGCTCTGTCTGGCTTATCAGGCGTGGAACATGCTCTCACCTTGTGCTGGATCCTCCCCTCTGGCAGGGCAGGCAGCAGAGCTGAAATCCTGGTGTGTGTTTTGAGAGGTGACAGCCCCAGGAGCCTGCCGAGAAATCACCCTCGGTGTCAGAGCTGTCCAGGAGCTCTCAGGATGACAGCCCTTTTTCTTTTCTGCCTCTTTGTGCAGAATTCAGGTTCCAGCTGAATGGAATTATGGGCTGTAATTATGTCCATGTTATATAATTACATGTTTAGATTAGGGTTGGGCTTTTGCCAGCTTTAGTTAACAAGTAAGAATTAGTTTCAACCTTTCAAAGTGGCGTTTTGTGCTGGGTTTGTCTTCTCTAGCCAATTAAAGCCGGAGTAACAGAGCTGCAGGGGGCTTTTGGATGGGGAAAAACACCCAACTGACAGGTTAACCTGGAGCTTGTGGTATCAGACTGTGGGGTTTTTTTCATCTATCCTCAGATAACACCACAAAAATTATATATTGTAGTACCAGGAGGCTGCTAAACAGAAGTGAGACCCAGCTTTGGGGGCTGCTGGTGCTTCTCAGCCTTTCCCTGCTCTGGGCCAAGCTTTGTCTCCTTCCCGGGGCTCCAGCCCTTCCCAAGTGAAGGAACAGCTGCAACCCAAGTTCAAGGGCACATTCCCAAAGCTGGCCCGTGTTTGTTTCCATAACTAGCAGCGTTTCCCTTGCACCACTGTTGTTAAAACAAACTCCTGGTCTTGTGTGTGGGGGGACAACAGAGTCCCAGAGCACAGCCCAGCTGTGGGCAAGGATGTCTGTGCCAACTTCCAAAGGTGCCAGCTGCCATCCAGGAGCACCCTGGATCCCAGGCAGGGATCAGATCCCACTGACAAAGCAGAATCCCCCTTCCCTCTTCCAGACCAGCTCCCCAGGGGGATGTCTGTGAAGCCAGACAAAGGACCACAAGAGCACAGGTCTGTGAATTTTATTTTAAAAAGACATTTATAAAATGCTCCTTTATAAAACTCCAAGTAAATATTTAAGGTACAAATGTAAAAACTAAGGTGCTATGAAAGATTTTTCTTCATTCTGGGGTTTTTTAAAAGGAATTGCAGCTTCCTACAGTTCTATGTGTCTTGGGAAGACCTGAAACTGTTAACACATAACACCAGCAGATCATTAACTTTGACTCAACAACAAAAAAAGCACTAATGAAGCAGTAGCTGACTGTAGCAATGCAGATAAAAATCTAATTAACCAAGCAGACTGTTTAAACTAAAGCCCTTACACTTGACTCAAAAGTAAAGAAATCTCCTAGGAATACCATTAGGCAATTATAAAACTGCCCCAAAATGGCTAAACTAAGATTTTCCAGGTGCTAAGCAGCATTAGCTGACAACTAATGAGCAACTAAGCAGGAAAGGAAGGAGTGATCCTCACAACATTTTTTCTTTAAAAAGTGGTGGATTTTTCCTGTGTTGGGTGACAACTCGACAGCTTGTTCTGTCAAGGTGGTTATAGGAAGACCCAGTGCACGGCAGGGAAAGGACTCTGGGATGACTCCAGTGATGGGACAGGCCTCCAGCTGCATGGGGGATGCTTGGAGAGCTCTTGCAGAGCCGCCCTGGATCCTCACCCCACCGTGTGCGAGGGGCAGATGAGTCCGGTCATCAGCTGCATGTCGGAGCATGGATTGTTCTGGAAACCCTGGGAAGGCACCGAGCCAGGGCCACACAGGTACAGCAAGGCCCCCATCCCTGCTGTGCCCCAGGAGCCTCCCCCAGCTCAGTCTGTCCCTACTGCCGGCTCCGGCAGCAGATGGCAATGGCCATGGCCGAGCTGCTGCCAGGGCCAGTGGTGGCCACGCAGGAATTGTCCTCAATGTGGGCTCCCACGGAGCTCTGGGACAGGGTGTTACAGCCTGTCAGCGTCCAGCCATCCTCACAGGACACTGTCACCTAACAGAGAGCAGAGGTCACCATCCATGGGTCAGCACAGGGCTGCCCATCCCCGATGGCCCCACAGCTCAGGGAGATGTGGCTGCTGTCACCCATCCCATCACAGCTGGGGACAGCACCGAGGGCTGGGTTGGGACAGCCACACCCAAAAGCCATCAGGGTGGCAGAAGGACATGCAGACAAAACAGCAGGACAGAGGAGCATGACCCATCCCTACCTTGTCCTCGTGTTCCAGGGCTGTGTGCTCCTTCAGCTGGCACTCGAGGCTGGCCCTGGGGCAGCACAGGGCGTGTGCCACCGCCTCTGTCCTGCTGGCACAGCGGCTGAGCCCCCTCCCCAGCCCCTCCACGGGCCTGCCCCCAGCACCCAGCACCACGGATGGGGAGAGGAAACTGCACCCTGCCCAGGGGAGAGGGGACATGGGCACAGGGCAGCCATGGCAGCATCCCAGCGCACACACTGTGGTGTCAAGGATGTCCCCAGAGAGCCCTGAGCCTTCCCCACCCCTGGCACACAGCACATGCACCCTTTTACCCCAAATCCCAGAGCGCATCTGGTAGGAACACCTTTGTCCATCAGGCCCAAAGGTCTGACCCCGTGTGTTGGGCGTTACCTGTCAGCACTTGTTCTCCTGGGGAGCACTGGGCCCCCTCATCCCCCGGGGACCCGGCCTTGATCCGGCACCCAGCCCTGGGCCATGTGCAGCACCTGGCGACGGCATAAACGCCCTGGCCCCGGCTGTGGGCCACACACTGCTTCTGCCCGTGCTTGTCCTGTGCATGGGGCACACGATGTCACCTCGGGGTCGGGGACAGCCCTCGGGGGCCGGGGACACCCTCCGAGCCCAGCGGGCCTCCAGGGCAGCAGATCTCTCTGCTCTGCTCCGCTCACCTCCATGTGCTCTCCCAGCCGGCCGCCGCTGCGGGAGAAGCTGGAGCAGCTGAGCATCTCCTCGGTGCTGGCACAGCGAGCCACGGCCCTGGAGCGCCGGGACAGCCCCGAGCTCGCCGACCACACCGAGCGGCAGAGCAGGCGCTGCTCCTCTGCAACGGGGCCGGGGCGTCAGCTGCGGGGGACACCCGCAGTGACACCCAGAGGGACCCACACACCCATAGTGTCATCCAGAGTGCCACCCACAGTGTCACCCACACACCCTCAGTGTCACCCAGTGCCCACGGCACCGACCAGGCCTCCATCTCGCCCATTCCTGCCAGCAGCCAGGCCCAGCCGTTCCGGCACAGCTCGGGGGACATTCCCTGCCGTGCTTCCACCTCTTTCCCGCTCAGGGCAGAGCTGTGCGGGCAGCGAGCCCCTCACCTGCCGCCAGCCGTGCGGGCAGCCCCGCTACGCTGTTGGGCGTCTGCGGGCGCTGCTCCTGCGGGATCCAGGCCGCGTCCAGGCCGCCCTTGGTGGAGAAGCGCAGGAGGCGCTGGCGGAGCTCGGCCCGGCCCAGCCGGGGCTCGGCGCTGAGCAGCACGGCCGCGATGCCTGCAAGAGCCCAGCAGTGACAACCAGAGGGGACAGAGCCGCCCACGCGGCGCTCCCATGGGCGGCAGGGCTCCAGAGACACGACAGAGCATCTCCGCAGCCCATCGGGAGCGCTGTGCAGCTGCAGCGCCCCAACGAGACACACCAACCCCGTAAATCAGGGAGCACAAAGATGGCCCCAGCCCAGCTCGGGCATGCCCGGAGCCCTGTGCCAGCACCAGCCCTCCCTCCCCTCAGGGCACAGCTCGCCTGCCACATGCGCGGCCGCCTGCGAGGTGCCGCTCCGCGCCGTGAAACACGTGCTGCACTCGCTGGAGGCGCCGACGATGTCGTCCCCAGGGGCAAACAGGTCCACGCAGCGGCCAAAGTTGGTGCCCAGGGTGCCGATGGAGGCAGGCTGGTCCTGGCTGTCGGTGGCACCCACCGTGATGACCTGGCAGTGACAGGGAACACGGCAGGGGTGGCACGCCCAGCCCGGTGACCCAGGGGATGGCCTGCAGGGATGAGGGGGCACCCAAGCCCCAGGGTCCCCCTCAGCCGTACCTCCGGCTCGGATGCAGGCGAGTAGAGGCAGGCATCGTCCCTGTAGTTGCCGGCAGCCGCCACCATGACCGCCCCGGCCCGTGCCAGCCGCCGGCAGCCCGCGTTCAGCGCGGGGCTCAGCGCCCCGGCCAGCGGCAGCAGCACCACCCGCGGCCGAGCCCCCGGCGCCCTCCCGATGGACTCCAGGGCTGCGAGCGACAAAACACCATCGCAGGGAGCTCCGGGAGGGACCCTGCTCCCCTCGAGGCACGGGGTCACTCACCCATGAGCGTGCTGCTGACGGCGCCCTTGCCCTGGCAGTTCAGCACCCGGAGGCTGCGGATGTTGGCGCCCCTGGCCACGCCGGCGTCGCGCCCGCTCAGCACCGCGGCCACGTGTGTCCCGTGGCTGTCACACTGGCCAGCCTGGCACGGGCACCGCAGATCCATGCCCCAGCCCATTGCAACAGAGCAGGTTTGCAATCCCACAGTCTCCCCATTCTCTCTTACCCGACACACACCCATGCTACCCTAGAACACTTTCCTAGAAAGAAGCCCTGCCCGACTCAGCCACATCTCCAAACACACCACCTTGCGGGTCCCAATATCCCCCAGGACCACAGCTCTTGTTGCCCATCCTGCCCAGCAAGTGTCTCCCTTGTCCTGGAAAGCCTCACAAGCTCAGCCAGGATGTGGTGGATGCAGGGGGATTGCTCTGGCCAGGATGCAGCACGTGGCAGCTCGGGACTCACCTGCCTGTGGAGGTGGGTGCCATCCTCCTCGGGGATGCTCTCGAAGCCAGTCACAGTCACCTTGCCCTCGATCTCCCGGTGGCTGCTCTGCACGCTGCTGTCCAGCAGGTAAATCTCGGCCAGGTCACCTTTATCTGCCAGGGATGCAGCAGGGGAGAAAGGCAACCTCCATCACAGGGGGTGTGTGGTCATCAACCTTCAGCACAGGCCACCTGGGCTGCTCCCAAAATGCAGCTCCAGACCCGCAGCACCATGAGGCAGAGGAATATTCCCATCCCTCAAGGTAAGGAGAGGGGACCTGACTCTTCCTCAAAGCCTCCCTCACACACCCCAGCGCTTACTGGGAGGGCTGTAGGAGCCCGAGCTGGGCTGTGGCCGCAGGATCCTGCCCAGGTTCCAGGGAATGCTCTGGGCAAAGACGTAGGCATCCTCCTCAATGTACTTCACATACGGCAGCTTCAGCGCCTGCGGGGAGGACACAAAGCTCCTGTTCCCCCCAAGGCTGGCGCTGCCACTACCACCAGGGCCCAGCGCAGCTGCTGTCCCCTGCCACCACTCTGTCCTACCGTGTCCAGGACGTCGCTGCTCATCCTCACCAGGAAGGCGGGCAGCAGGTGGAAGATGTGCAGCAGCTCGGCCCGGTGTCCCCGCCGAGCCGCCCGGGCCTGCAGCCGCCGGGCCGTGCCCCGCAGCTCGGCCGCGCTGCCCGCCCGCAGCATCACCACGTAGCGCCCGGGCAGCCGCCACGAGGCCTGCGGGGACACCGGGACGGCGTTCGGGACACACAGACAGACACATAGACACACACACAGGAGCGTGGCTGTCCCCCCCTCCCCGCGCTCCTCACCTTGGCAGCGCGATGGAAAGCAGCGGGTCCCGGAGGGGCGGCCCCGACGGCGGCTTCGCCCTGCCCGGCCGCCCGCAGGGCCGGACCCAGCTCCGCCAGCGCCAGCAGCAGCGCCAGCGCCCGCGGGGACATCCCGCACGCCTCGGCAGCGCCGGGACCCGCGGGGATGGCACCGGCGGGGACCCCCTGCGCCACCGCCGAGGGGCCGGAGCGTACCCGAGGGGCAGCAGCGCAGTCGAAGGGCTGGAGAGGGGCCGGGGAGCTGGAGAGGGGCCGAGGGGCCGGAAAGGAGCCGAGGTCCCGGAGCGCACCCGCGGAACGCCCCCTCGTAGGTCCCGGAGCGCACCCGCGGATTTGAGATCCCGGAGCGCACCCGCGGATGGCAGGTCCCGGAGCGCACACGCGGATCTGGGATCCCGGAGCGCACACGCGGGTCTGAGATCACGGAGCGCACCCGCGGATCTCGGGTCCCGGAGCGCACACGCGGCCGCGGCTCGGTCTGGCCGGCGCTCAGCGCGGGGGGCGCGGATCACGCCGGGCGGGTTCAGCATTAACGGGGCCGCGGGGAGGGGGCGATCGATGGGGCCGCTGCTCACCCCGAGTCCCGGCGGATCGCTGGGGGCTCTGGCGAGCGAAGCGCAGCCGCTCAAGGACTGCTTGGAGAAAGGGCTGAAAGCTTTAATGTGCCTCCTACTGCCTCACTCCACGAATAATTTCCCGTGAAATCCGCTAATCCTGTTTGGGCATTTTTTGCAGAGTCGTCACACATGGCAGATGCCCTTTTTGCGGGATGATTTCGGTGATTTCCGTGGGTCTCCACGCCGCTTCCCACCTCTGCCCTCCCGCAGCATCGGCATCCCACACTGCCCCACATCCCCAGTGACCTCCGGCAAACCCCATCCCTGCTCCCGGCTTCTCAGGGAAATAGGAATTTGTGGTTTTGGCTGGTTATTTATCAGCTCCTCAGAGGTTAAATGTTTATACGGATGCACACATTTTACACAGATGTGAATGGTTTGTATGAATATATGTTTTACACGGTGTACATGTTACAATTATGTATATGGTTTGTATGCACATATATGTTTTATATGGATCTGTGTGGTTTGCACGCAACAATGTTTTAAATAAATGAGCATCTTTTATAATTATGGGTTGTTTATAATTATACATGTGATACTTATAATTATAATTAATTAAAATTAATTTTATAATTAATGGCTTGCATGGACTTTAATGCTTTATATAGGTGTGCATGTTTTACAAGGATGTGCAGCATTTATATGGATGGGTGTGTTTAATATGGATATGAGCAGTTTTCAGGGGAAATGTTGATTTTTTTAAATGAGAACTCAAGCCTGAACTCTGGTTTGGGTGACTGCAGGGACACCAGACCCAGCTTGGCACCCCTGTGCTGCACAGAGCTGACACTGCAAGGGGTCAGGACACTGATCATGGGGTCAAGCTTCACTCCGGTTTTTGGCTCAGCTTCCTCGGTGCTGCAAAGTCCCACAAGGCACAACTGGGGCCTCTGGAGGCTTCTGAGACAGCTGAGCACGGGGAGACCCTGTCTCAAGGGGGACAGTCCCCCTATCCCTGCCGCCTTTCCCTTTTGCATAGGGGACAATCTGTGTCCCAGGGGACAATCTGTGTCCCAGGGAAGGATGGAAGGAGCCCGAAGAGGAGGGAGGGGGTGGCAGAAATCTCCCAGTTCCACGTGCATCCCCACGTGCTGAAAAACCCATGGAGATCTTGGAACCCTGGCAAGGGATCCGGCCCAGCTCTCACACTCCAGGAGTGGGTATCTGCAGAAAGGCTATATTTTTTAAAATTGGGAATTATTCAGAAATAGCCCAAAATTTCCACCTGGTGCGGAAGAGCTCTGTTTCAGTCCTAGCTCCCTGTGAAGCTTCCAGCGAGCGCGTCTGTGTAAAGATGGGGAGGAAGGAGAGAGCAGAGGGGGCATCGGGGAAGATCTCAACAAGGGGGAAGGACTCCTAAATCCCTGCTGCCGACCCTTCGCAGGGAGAGACGGAGCATCCCGTCAGTTAAAAGGAAGGCTTCCCACAGCTTTTGCGGCACTTCTGCGAGTCTGAGCATCTAATAACATCGCCGTGCCATAATTCCGAGCAGGTCGTACAGCATAGGCCGAGCTGCACCAGCCGGGAATCGAACCCGGGTCGCAAGAATGGGAATCTTGCATGATACCACTACACCACTGGTGCGCTGATCCAGCTTTTCCCCGTATGGGGCCAACCCTCGGGCCCGTCCCGCGTGGGTGGCACCGTCAGCCCTTCCCGTCGCTCTGTCCCCATCCCTGCAGGGTGACACGCGTGGGCAGCGGGCGGTGCCCCCCGCTCGGGCCGAGCCGGGCCCGGGGCTGCGGGCCCCGCTTAATGCCATGCAGGAATGTCCCGGCTCCCACAATGTTTAACCTGGGCCGGCGCGGAGTCCTTGGGCTCAAGGATGCTGTTCTGGATGGGGGATGCACTCTCAGCTGCGGGAGAGGGTCCAGGCTCTGTGTCAGCCCCCTCCCCTGCCTCTGCCTGGAGAAATGCTTCTGAAAAACAGATTTGTTTTGCCAGAAGTGAAAGTGAGTGCCAAGCCATGAGGCAGGAATCTCTTCTGTGAGGAAATTCTGGGAAAGTGCTCAGCCTGGAGAAGAGAAGGCTCCAGAGAGACCTTAGAGCCCTTTCCAACACAAAGACTACAGGAGAGCCAGGAGGGACTTTGGACTGTGTAAAACGCTGACACAGTTTTCCCAGGAATGTGTCCAGGGGTGTCCCATCCTTGGACACATTCAAGGCCAGGTTGGATGGGCCTTGGAGCAACTTGGTCGGGTGGAAGGTGTCCCTTGGAACACGATGATCTTTAAGGTCCTTTCCCAGCCTGTGCTTCTATGGGTAAAAGCTCCTGGGTCTCACCAGGTTGCCACCCTCCACAGGAGCAGTGATACAGTGACACCCTGCCCTGGGCACCCTCTGAAACTCAGTGACATGTGGCTCCATCCAAACAGCATTCCCAGAGCCACCACCGTGCTCCCCCAGCCTGGGAGGGACAGGCAGGAGCTGGGCCCATGCAATCCACCTGGCAATGCTTCCCCTGGAGAGCAGCTCACAGACCTGTGCCAATGTTTAGCCAACACTGCACCCTCATTCCCCACCCTCCTGTTGGCCATAAACACCCGGTGCTTCCTGCCCTTCTACCTGGCTGTTTTGGTGACACCAGGGTGAGCCAAGGCTGCAGGAGTGTCACAGAGTGTGACACCAAGGTGTGCCAGAGTGCAGGAGTGTCACAGGGTGTGACACCTCAGGCACAGCCTTTCCTTGCACACCCTGTCCTGCAGGGCTCTGTGCCCCAGGACAGCTTTCCCCCACTTTTCCACCTGGGGATTTGGAGCTGCAGGGTTTTTTGGCTCCCTTCCAGCTCAGTTCTGTGATTCTATGGGATTTGCTGAAGTCTTCTCTGCCAGCAGATGTGTGCTCCCAATTCTCCTGGGACCATGCCAGGCTCAGGGAGACCCAGCGCAGCTTTCCCAAAACAGAGCAAGGGACTGTCACAGCATCCCTGTGCTGTTGGATGCATTGATCCAGACCCCAAACAGAGCAAGGGACTCTCAGCATCTCCGTGCTGTTGGGTGCTTTGATGCAGCCCCAGCTGCCCTGGGGAGGCTCAGCCCCACCCTGCAGTCCTGAGCAGCCAAAGGTTGTGGTTCCCAGCAGCTCTGCCATCTCTGTGTGCTGGGGACAGGTTTGGAGAGCCCCTGTGCTGTCCCTGGCGGTGGTGACAAACAGGCTGAGATCCACCCTCGTGGTTTGGGACAAACACTTTTTATTCACAGGAGGTTTGGGGATGGTGGGTGCCAGCCTGCAAAGCCACCTGCAGCTGATGGCACCGACCCAGCAGAGTGGGCAAAGCCGCCACCTCGAGTGCCATCACCGGGGTTTTGGCTCAGCTGTGTCCTCCCCCTGTGCCCCCAGGAGTGCTGGGAGTGGTCCTTGTGCAGGAGACAGGGGACAGCACCATCTGTCACCTCCATCACTCCTCTCCCAGCCTGGCTGCCTGCTGCAGGAGACTCTGGAATGAATTTTGATTTCAGCAGAGCTTGGGTAAATGGGAAAAAGACTTTGAGGACATCTCTGCCTGATAAAACCCACCTGCCCTGAGCAGGTTTTACCCACCTGAACCTGATCCTGTTCCAAACAGCACAGCCAATCCTTTACCTTCCCAAGCACAGCCTTTAGCCCAGATCCAGCCCAGCTTCTCTGTGCCCTACCAAATGGCTCTGGTGAGGATGCTTTGTCCCATATTCTGTTGAATTCAGGAGCTGGGTGTTCCCCCTTTGGCTCTGGGAGCCTCCTGAGTGGCTGGGTTTGCACAAGGTGTGCAGCACAGCACAGGGACAGGCAGGATCCTGGGGCCACTGCACTTTGGGGGACAGGCCCCTTTCCCCCGAGCTGTGACCTGTGCATCCCCTCCATGGGATGAGTCCATTCCGAGTGGCCATTCCAAGTGGGTCCATGGGGTGAGCCCATGCCGAGTGGCCATTCTCCCCAGGAAATCAGTTCTCAGGCTCGGACAGGCCGTCGCTCTCCTTGAGCAGATCATCCGGCTCCTCCTGGAGCCCGTAGTAGAGCTCCTCCTCCCTGCCGGTGCCTTTCCGGGGGGCTCGGGGCCGCTCTCCCCGCTCCGGGCGGCCGGGGTGGCTGGAGCAGGGCAGGCTGCGGCTCTGCGGCGCGGGGCTGCCGGGCACGGAGCCCTCCAGCGACGGCGTGTCCATCTCCTCCAGCAGGGATGCCAGCGGAGCATCCCCCGGCGCGGGGCTGCGGGGACACCGAACGCGGCTGGGCAGGAGCGGCCGCCCCCGGAGCGCTGCCCTGCAGCATCCCGGCTGCACCAGCACCACCAGCGCCCTGCTGGAGGCACCTGGGGTGTCTGTGCCTACCCTGCTTTTTTGGGGACAGCTGCCTGCCAGGTTCCTGCTGCCCAGGAGGTGGAATAATGGTTGTGCTAACATTTCCTGAACCTGCAGCTGGGATGGGAAAACACTGCACCCATCCCAGCTGCAGCTACATTCTGGCAGGTGCCTGTTGGGAGAGTTGCTAAGAATTGGAAAAGTACAAGGCTGTAGATCATTCCAAGTCTTGCACCTATGCTCAAGGACACTGTCCTTGAGCATAGCTGTGTTACCATAACAAAGTGCTGTGGTTGAGAGACTAGAAACTTGAGAAAAGAGAGATGTAACCCCTAAGGAATGGGGAAGAGCTAATGTTGCAGTGTGGCCAATAGATAGTTTAAATTACAGAATATTCATGAGATTATTACTTGCTGTATAAGTGTCTGATGCTCTCTTCAATAAACAGAGCTTGCTGAACACTCATATTGAAAGTCTCGAACCTTCCCTGCACCGAGACAAATGGCCTTCTGCAACAGGTGCCCAAGTCCTATACCCTGAACAGTGACCCCCATCACCTGCAGAGCCCTCTGGGACCTCCCTAACCAATGCTTGGGCATCATATGTGGCATCTGGTGCGAGGGTGACGTGCTGTGCATTTCATTCCTATCAAAGCCTGACCAGGAACTTTGGGGTTATTCTTGTGAGGGACGCTGCTATATTGATAAAGTGAAATAAAATAAAATAAAATAAAATAAAATAAAATAAAATAAAATAAAATAAAATAAAATAAAATAATAAAATAAAATATAATAATAAAATAAAATAAAGTAAAATAAAATAAAATAAAATGTGAAAATGCAAACATCAAAATGCAAATTACAACCAAAGGCCATCTGAATTTCCTGCTGGGAAATAATTTGGTTCGGAGAGTCCTCGTGGGTTGAGACTCCATCCCCAGCATTCAGCAGGGCCAAGGGTGTGGAGGCTCAGTGCTGTGACAGCAGTCAAAACCCCTCTGTATCCTCTCCCCCCGCCAATCCTGCGGGTCTGATGCCCCCATTTTCACCCCACATCCCAGCCGTGCCCCCCAACCCTCAGGCATCACCTACCAGCTGCCAGGTGCTGTTTCCCGGCGGGACGGCAGCTCCTGGAGGGGCTCCCCAGCCCCGTGCTGCAGCTCCCGGTGGATCTCCGCCGTGGCCTGCAGGGATGGCTGGGAGCAGCTGCGGGGCCGGGGGAGCTGTGCCCGGGCTGGGGCCGGGCCCGAGCTCCCCTCCTGCCGCTGGACCTGCTCGTAGGAGGGCAGGCTCTTCTCGTAGGGGCTGCTGGCCTCTGGGCTGGGGCACGGGGAAACCAAGCTGCAGGCAGAGGGATAACGGGGTGCTGAGCAGAGCTGGACCCCATGGGGCTGGGAGATGCTCAGGCACATGCACACAGGGCTCCGTCAGCTGAGGGAGTGGCTTTAGAGGCCACCAGGGCCGTGTCACTGCCCACACCAGCAGCAGAGCCAGGGGATGCCTGCAGGAGCAGCCCTGGACGCTCTGCATCCCTCAGCGTCGCTCAGGCTCAGCCTCCCCCAGCCTGATCCCTGCCTGGCATTGTGTGCTGTACCAGGTGCAGCTGTGCCGGTGTCAGAGCTGCCCCCAGGGCACACACCACCCTGCTGTGGGACCCACCCTGTGTCCTTGTGGGGCAGCACCGTGGCTTTGTGGTCCAGGAACCGCTCGGCCTCGAGATCCGCAGGGACGAACGTAATCTGGGGAAAAGAGAGGCAGAGCCCAGGGCTGTGCTGGGCAGCACAGGGACCCCGGCCCCCAGAGTGGGGACAGGGCCAGAGTGTCCCTTCAGCTGGGCTTAGGGTCTTTTCCCACCATATTTGGACGTTTTCCTTGGAAATGTCACTTTTGAGGGCAATCAGTAAGGAATGAATGAGTCCGGCACAGCCCTGCTCTCTGTGCCTTTCACACGTGTCCCCAAGCCCAGAGGGAGTCCCAAGGCCCACACAGGACGTCCGTGTGGGTGTCCCTTCCTTGAGCCTCCAGCACGGTGGCAAAGCCACATCTCCCTCCTGGCTGGGGCTGAGCTCAGCTTTGAGGGGAGTTTCTGCTCCACCCCAATCCCACAGAACACGGCCGCTGCTTCCAGAGGTCCCAGCTGGTCCTGGGTCCCGAGGTGGCTCCCCCACACTCTGGAGGGCAGCCAGGTTGTTGATGGGCCACGCAGCAGTCCCAGATCAGTCCTACAGATGCCCTCTCCTGGAAAAAGCCCATTTCTGCCAGAGTCATTCCCGGGGCGGGGACGCGTGGCTGCGCTCCTGCCGGCTGTGCCCTCTGCCAAGGAGAATGCCAGCCGAGGGACCCCTTGACTTCCACAGCCCCTTCCTGGCAGCCCTGGGAGCCTGCCAAGCCCCAGAGCCCAGGGAAGGGCTGTGTGGGAGAGATGAGCACAAGTTTATTTCCTTGGGATTATTCCCTGCTGCCTGTTTGAGAGCAAAGCCCCAGGCTCAGGGGTGAAGGAGATGGGGCACATCCTGCAGGCATCAGCAGGGCACAAACCTCCCAAAATAATTCCCCTTCCAGATTGCTGCAGCGGGCTTCCCCTGGGGAAACTGAGGCTGCACATCCACAGCAGCCAAAGCCCCCAAATCCAGCCCTTGAGCCCCCCAAAGTTCCCAGCAGCATTGGGAAGGATCCTACCTTTGGGTAGCACTGGCACATGCTCCATGTGATGCCCACAGCCACCAGCAGCACGCCCAGGACACAGAAGGTGATGTAGTATTGGGGCTTTTCCATGCTCATGATGAACATGCCCAGCATCACCAGGAAGAAGCCCAGGATGATGAAGCCGTAGCGAAAGGTCTTCTCCTCTGCCATGGGAGAGATTTTGGGAAGCCTGTGTCCACCTGAGGCTGCTGAGCACACCTGCAGCGCCAGGCAAGGAGTGGTTTCTCTCTCCAGAGGCTGCCAGGAGCTGCACGTCGAGCTGGTCCTGCCCAGGGCTGAGCCAGCCAGTTTTTAATGGGTTTGTAATGAATGCAAACACTGCCCCGCCGTTCACACTCCAGTGGAGCCACCCGGCACGTGGCCGGGTAACCTTCCCTGCAGGCACCCTCAGCCAGCCTCACACCTGGGGAAATGACAGGGATAACCTTCCCTGCAGACCCCACACCTTGGGGACAGGGATAACCTTCCCTGCAGGCAGGATCAGCCAGCCCCATACCTTGGGAAGGGGCAGGGATAACCTTCCCTGCAGACCCCACACCTTGGGAAGGGGCAGGGATAACCTTCCCCAGCCAAACCCACACCTGGGGAAAGGACAGGGATAACCTTCCCTGCAGACCCCACACCTGGGGAAAGGACAGGGATAACCTTCCCTGCAGCCCCACACCTTGGGAAGGCACAGGGAAGCACGGCTGCAGGGATGGGGACCCAGAGATCAGCTGGGATTTTCCCAGCCCTGGGCACTGGAGCTGGACTCAGCCATAAATCAGAGCTGGCACAGCCCCAGATGAGGGGGATGCCAGGGCCCAGCGTGTTCTCAAGGGCTGTGGGAACAGGAAAAGAGGGAGAACTCTGGGGTGGTTTTGAAGGTTGGGGGGTTTGGGGCAGACCCTGCCTTGCTCTGGCTGAGTGCTAAGGCTGCCTCACTGGGCTGTGAAGGAGGAAATAAAGCCAGAAAAGGATGGAGTGGAGTTAGTCCACCCAGGGAGAGTAAAGACAAAGTGTCCCTGTGCCCTGTGTACACTTAGGTTGGAGCTGGGGGTTAAAAGGTGTCTCCTTCCCACCACACATCCACAGCCAGACAATGTTTTATTCCCTTGATTTATTCCCTTGATACACCTGGTTTATGGCAAATAATTCGATTACAAACAGCGTGTTAGACGTGGCTGTGGCTCCTCAGCCACTCTGCAGCCCTGCAGGGCCACAGGGCAGCGCTGATTTGTGGTGGGATGCAGGAGCTGGCAGCAGCCCTGCCACAGCTCTGGGCAAGGCTGCACAGCAGGGCAGGGGGGCTGTGCCACTCAGGATGGCATTTCCAGGAGGCTGCTGACATGCCAAGTGCACTGGGATGCTCTGAGCACAGCACGACCCACTGAGCACGGCCAGCACCAAGTGAGGCGTGGGCAGTCAGCATTCAGGGAAACAAGGTGGAAGGGATGGAGACAGGGCTGGAAGGGGCACTCACAGGGACGTGAGTGGTGCAGACAGAGCTGGGCTTTCTCTGCCCAGATTACTCAGTATGCTGCACATTTATTATTATTGAGTGGGCAGGCCTGACAGGAGCTCCCCAGGGTGAGCAGGGAATGCAAAGCCACTGAAACCAGCAGTGCTTTTATTAAAAATACTAAAGCTTTCAAACATGCCAGCTACCCCCGATGCTCTGAACACATCTCCCAGCACCAGAGAGCCGGGAGAGCCGGGCTGAGCCTCCCCAGTGCTCGCCCACCCTCCTGTGCCCCATCCCGGGGTTCGGGGCTCCGTGTACAGCTGGGGGGCCGGGCAGCCCCGGCAGAGTCCCGGCCGGGCAGGCGGGCTCAGAGCCCCCGCACGGTGCTGTTCCCGATGCTGTTCTCGATGGTGTTCCCGATGCTGTTCCCGATGCTGTTCTCGATGGTGTTCCCGATGCTGTTCTCGGTGCTGTTCCCGATGCTGTTCTCGGTGGTGTTCCCGATGCTGTTCTCGATGGTGTTCCCGATGCTGTTCCCGATGCTGTTCCCGATGCTGCTCCCGATGCTGCTCTCGATGATGTTCTCGTAGCTGGGGGGCGGCGTTCCCTGCGGCTCCGGGGGCTGCGCCGGCTCCAGCCAGGACGGGCTGGGGCGGAACAGGGCGCTGTCCGAGGAGCTGCGCCGCCGCCCGCCCTGCCAGCCCTCCTCCTCCTCCTCCTCCTCCTCCAGGTAGCGGTACAGGGGCGGCGTGGGCTCCTCCTTCCGCCCCGGCGGCTGCACAAAGGCCGGGGCAGCCTGGGCTGGCCTGCAGGTCAGGGCTTCTTCATAGGTGGGGATGGCGCTGGAGTCCCAGGAGCTGCCAGGGGAGAGGGGGAAACTCAGCAGTGCACACCATCAACATCCCAGCTGGATGCACACCATCAACATCCCAGCGCCCAACTGGGGCATCCCAGAACTCCTGGAACATCCCATCACCCAACTGGATCATCCCATCACCCAACTGGAGCATCCCAATGCCCCATTAACTGGAGCACCCCAACATCCATCAACCCCATTGTCTGGAGCATCCCTGAGCACGATGAGCGCTTGTACTGGGGACAGACATGGGCAGGTTTGCTGAAGTGTCATGGGGTGACCATGTCAGCTGCTTCCTGGCATCCATGAGGTTTTCAAGAGGGTCCCAGGGGCAGAGGAGCATCCTCACCATGCTCAGCCCCTAATTCACCCCATGCAGGACAGAGGCTGCTGACAGCTGAGGGGGGAATTTGGCACAAGGACCAGGACAAGCAGCAGCACCCCAGGTCCCCGTGGTCACCCCCTGCTCCCAGGGCAGCCAGAGCCCTCCCTGCCCTGGCCAAGCCTGCAGCCGCTTCAGCAGAGCTTTCCTGAGCAAACACAGCTTGGGAAAACCTCTGACAGCCTCTGCCCTGCTCCTGGCCCTGCTTGCTGGGCATGCTGTGAAACAACTCATCCCTGCAGGTGGGAGCCAGCCCAGTGTGCTGGGGAGCAGCAGGCAGGGGAGGGCACAGCTGGCCCAAAGGAAAAGCCATGGGCTCACAGGGATGGCCCAAAGGAAAAGCCATGGGCTCACAGGGATGGCCCAAAGGAAAAGCCATGGGCTCACAGGGATGGCCCAAAGGAAAAGCCATGGGCTCACAGGGATGGCCCAAAGCCATGGGCTCACAGGGATGGCCCAAAGGAAAAGCCATGGGCTCACAGGGATGGCCCAAAGCCATGGGCTCACAGGGATGCCTCCATGCTGACCTTGGCAGATCCCTGTCCCAGACACACCATCCAGGCTTCTCTGACAAGGATTTTGCCAAGCAGCTCAGCTTGCACAGGAATGTCACCTTGGAAATGTGGAGAGGGGGATTTCTCCAGCACAGGGTGCTTTGCTGGAGCTGGAGGAGCTGCTGCAGCTCCAGCACTGCCAGGGAGCTGCATCCCATCCATCCAGGGAGCTCAGGGAAAGGGACATTCCCCACAGGGGCACAGCAAAGGAGCTCCCTCCAGACACCCAGACCTGCTCACAAGCTCACAGATACCCAGAGATGGGCTCTGAAACCCCTGGAGAACCAGGAACGTGCTTCCCACTCCAGCTGTGTTTTATGGTTTAATGTTCCGAAGGGTTTCTCTTAGTGCTGCTTTTCCAGAGAGCCCTATTTATGGCAGGGCAAGGAGTCCTTCTATACCCTGAAATGGGCTTCATAAAGGACCTGCTGCCTACATTCTTATCTTGATGCCATCCCAAGGACTATTTTCCTTATTTTTTTCTCCATTTAACTCCCGGGTAAGCCAGACTTTGCTTCCATTAAAGAACTTATAAACACCCTCATCCTCACAGAGCATCGCAGAGCTGCCAGACCAGGACTGGAGCTCTGAGTGACCCCACATCCAAACCTTCTGCCAGAAAACCAATGTATTCTTCTGCTTGGTGGCCCTGCTAAGGAGATGTGTCCCTCCTGATGGCCCTGCAGGGCAAGGAGAGGTGGAGCAGGGCAAGGAGGGGGTGAGCAAGGAGAGATGGGTGAAGGGCAAGGAGAGCTGGATGTAAGGCAAGGAGAGATGGGTGTAGGGCACAGAGAGGTGGATGAAGGGTAAGAAGACGTGGGTGCAGGGCAAGGAGAGATGGGTGTAAGGCAAGGAGAGCTGGATGTAAGGCAAGGAGAGATGGGTGTAGGGCAAGGAGAGCTGGATGTAGGGCAAGGAGAAAGTGGGCAAGGAGGGAGTGGGCAGGGAGGGTTGACATTAATGAGCAGGAGCATCTGCTCGGGGGGCAGGAGGAGAGCACAGAGCAGTGCTGCTGTCCCTGTGAGCTCAGCAGCCAGCAAGGTTTGGCTCAGGCACAGCCAGACCCATCCTCCTCCCGCCGTGCCCAGCCAGGCGCTGGCAGGGACGAGTTCCCACCTGCAGTTCCACTTCTCCGCGGGCTCGGCCGTGAAGTACTGCAGGTCCCGGGGGAAATGGTACTGGTAGCGCCGCGACACCACCCTGGCGTTGGCCTTGACGGACCACAGGAGGCCGAAGATGAGCAGGATGCCGCCGATGCCGCAGCAGAAGAAGCTGACGGAGCGCAGCAGGGCGCTGGACGAGGAGGAGGAGGAGGAGGAGGGCACGGCCTCGGCATCCCGGGGCGGCAGCAGCCGAGCCCCGCCGGCCGAGCCCACCTCGCCGTCGCTCCACCAGGCGAAGCAGAGCGTGCCCGTGACCAGCAGCATGGCGCCCGCGATGGTCAGCCCGTAGCGGAACGAGGCCGCGGCCATCCTGCGGGAGCAGCGGCTACCGGGGCACAGCAGCGAGGCGAGGCATGAGAGAGCCTGCGAGACAAGGGACGGGCAAGGGCTGAGAGGGAGAGGCTCATGGAAGAACTGCCAGAGGAGAGAATGACTGGGCGAGGAGGTCTCCGGGGCTTGCAGACCCTTTAGCCATCATCATCATCATCATCATCATCATCATCATCATCATCATCATCATCATCATTTTACTATTTTATTTTATCATTATTAATTATATTATCATTTTAGTATTCTAATATATTATTTTCTTTCATTTATTATTATTAATAATATTATTAACAATATCACGAATAATATTAATACTAATTTTTACTTTTACTATTTTATTTATTATTCTCAATAATATTAATGATATTAATATTATTAATATTAATGCTATAATTTTACTATTTTTATTTTATTTTATCATTATTAATTATATAATTATTTTATTATTTTTATCATCTTTATTTCATTTTATTTTATTTTATTTTAAATTTTGATTAATAATATTGATATTAATATTAACATTACTGTGAATATTAATATTATATTTTTATTTTTACTATTTTTACTATTTTTACTATTTTTACTATTTTTACTATTTTTACTATTTAAAAATTTATTATTATTATTATTATTATTATTATTATTATTATTATCTTCATCATCATCATCATCATCCTCCATCAGAAAGGGCATTTCCACCATCTCAGCTAGAAAGCCCTTGAGAAGAGCAAAGTGAGCACCAGGTTGGACCCATAAACTTCCTTGTAAAAACACCCCAATTTTCAAGGAATAGCACAAAGGCAGGATGGACATCCCAGCTCCAGGCTCTCTCATAGCTCTTCTCTTTGGGTTTTATTCCAAATTTCCTCCCAGACTTGGGGGAATGCCAGCTGGGTTTCCTGGGCTTTCAAAGCATGGCTTATGGAAGAGGTTGGAAAGAGGAACATAAATTTAAGATGTCATCACTTCCAAATTATCAATGTGCCTGTTTTCTCCTCCAGAACTGATGACATTGGAAAAATCTGCTCAATCTCCATCCACATGAAGTTTGGCACACAAAACCTTGCTCGCCTGGGTCAGCTCCAGAGCGAACTTTCTCAAGTTCCTGTCAAGATTGATCCTGCAGGTGTTACCACCAGCTTCACCCTCCCTATCAGGGTGGTTTGGGGTTGGTTTGACAACCAAACACCTGAGGTAGTGCCACAAGTTCCTGCTGGGTGGCTCTTCTCAGCTATATGTCATATGCAGAGAGCTTCCCTGGTGCTGGAAAACTTGGGGAGGGGGAGCTGGTTCCTGATCTCAGTGCCCATTGCTTTCCCCAGCAAACAGCAGGCATCTGCTCCCTGAGCTTGTGCATCCTCAGCTCCCAAATAACCAAATAACCAACTAACCAGGGAGGCAGAGACGTCCCCCCCATCCTCTCTGCTCACTGCCCAGCCAGCAGATGCAGGTCCAGCTCCCACTTCTCAATGGACAAAAAGCTTTGGACCATGTGGGAATGAAGCACCAACATCCCCAAAGAGATGCAGTCCTGGGTGGCTGCACTGGGAAGGTTTGTCATGGTGGCAGTGCCAGGGAGAGCCTGCACATCAGGGATGGCCAGGACAGAGGAGGAGCTCAGGCAGAGCTTGGTGGGCAGGTGGGTGACCCACACCCAGCTTTGCCTCCATCACTTTGCCTGTGTGCCAGCAGCAGGACCACAATGTGGTGGCTTTGGTCCCCATTCCTCCAGGCAGGGCTCATCTCCTACAGAGGGGTCCTAAATTGCACCCTGAGGTCTGAAAGGGCAGAGCCAGAGCCAGGCAGGGAGCAGAAGCCCAGCAAGGACCTGGCCATCAAGGTCAGGGGGAATTATGTTATTTCAAGGTGTTATTTATCAGATGGGCCCACTAAATGGAAAGGCAAATTACCCTGTAGTGAAAGAGGCACTGATCTAATCAACATTTAATGAAGGAATCTGATGAGAAGGGAGATTTGGGAAAGCTGCAGGAGTGGGAGCCCCAACAGCTCAGTCCAGCTTTTGTCCCAGGGTCACAAGCCCAAAATGCCACCTGGGCTGGCTGTGGCCAGTGGGCATCAGCTGGGAGGGCAGTCCTGCTCCTGGGCTGGGAAAAGGCAGAGCTTGCTCTGTAATGGGGGCATGTTTGGATGCTCCTTCCTGAAGGGCAGGGCCTTGGTTGAGCTGAGATGGAGAAGGGACTGCTGGAGATGGTGTTAGATGCTGTCAGGGGTCAGCATCCCCAAACCATCACTGTACATGAGCAGGACACAGCAGAGGAGCTGGACTCGGGTTGCCTTGCAGCAGGAGATGCTCAGGAGAGCACAAGGACCCCACTGACCTGGGAATGCAGCTCCTTTGGACAGCAATGCATTTTTATGTAGAAATTTCAGCATGTGGTTTAGAGAAAAATAAAAACAAGCATCACCCAAAACAAGCCCTACAGCAAATCTCTCAATCCTGCTGTGTGGAAATGTCAGGTCCAAACTGAGACACTGGGCTGAACCTGCACCAAGAGTTGGAATGTTCACCTCCTGCAACAAACACTCTCCTCATTCTGGGGTCAGACTGGTGAGGTCTGGGAGAGGCTCTGAATCCCCTGGTGAGGTCTGGGAGACGCTCTGAACTCCCTGGTGAGGTCTGGGAGACGCTCTGAACTCCCTGGTGAGCTTTGGGAGATGCTCTGAACTCCCTGGTGAGCTTTAGGAGATGCTGAGATTCCTCTGCCTGGGCACGGGGAATTTTGCATCCTCCAGCACCGAGCACATCTGGGAGAGCTGGCAGCGAGGGGGAGGAGGAGGGAAGGAGGAGAAGGAGCCTCTGGGAGGTGATGGATTGACAGCTCCAGAGAATAAACTCTTTTTCTCTCTCTCGACGAGCCCAGCGCGGCGCAGGGAGCTCCCCCAGCCTCCCCGCACGGTGACAGTGCCACCGCTGGGTGACAGTGACATTGCCACCGCTGGGTGACAATGCCTTTGCCAAGCCCCCTCTCGGGCTGCCACAGCTCTCCCGAGCCTCTCTGGAAGCCCCGCGGTGCTTTCTCAGCACACCAAGAGCTGGAAGAAGAGCCGGGAGCGAGGTGCGATGCTTGGGCAGCACTCCGGGCTCCCGCAGCCTCTCCCGGCTCCGCTCCCGGGGCACTCAGCATCTGCACAGCGCCAGATGTGGCTCTCCCTCCCCGCGAGCATTCCCAGCACAAGTTTTCACGGAGCCACAGCAATTGCCGGCTCTCAAACGCCCTTCTCCGCTCTCCGAGCCTTCCTGACATTTTGTTCTGCCCTTCTTCTCCTCTGACCCGCTCTGGAATAGTTTTCCGGGGAATAGATTTGCACGTTTCATGTACAAACAGATAATGTTGATAGTTTACACAGTTCCAGCGAGCCGCTGAGAATAGCAGCCCCCATATAAAGTTATGCAGATGGTGATTCATAGGGTCTACGAAGCATTACTCAGAAAAACGCTCTTTTCAAGCAACACGAGAAAAGAAAAGAGTTTTGAACCTCTCCCACCGCCATCAAGCAGAAATCCACCTCCACACCCATCCCTCCACGGCACTTACAGACCGTCCTTTGCTTCCGTGCGGGTCTGGAAACCTTTAACCACGGAAGAGGAACAGAGGAGATGCACAGAAGAGATGCACCAAACAAAGCGTGAGCGCGTCTTGAGGGAGATCCCTTCCTGCTTCACCCAAATTTGCTGTTTTGCTGTGACAATTACCAGCGGGGCTTTGCTCCCCATTCAAAGCAAAGGAACGGGGATGCCTTGGAAGAGCTTCCAACAACTCCGGCGCGCTCATCCTCCCGAGGCAGGTGCGGACAGAGGAGAGCCCGTGTGCGTCCCCCTTTGGGGCCGCGCCTGAGCCCCGCGTCCCCTCCCGGCTGTGCCCGTCCCCGAGGCACCGCGGGGTCTGTCGGGGGGTGCCCGTGTCCCCTCCCTGTCCCCCCGGTGTCCCCGCCGTGTACTCACCGCCGCCGGCAGCCCCGCTCCGGAGCGGCGGCTCCGCGGGGCGGGCGGGGCCGGGGGCGGGCGGGGGGCGGCGGCGCCTCGGGGCGGGCAGGGACCGGAGCTCCGGCTCGGCTCGGCACGGCACGGCACGGCACGGCACGGCACAGCCCGGCTCCTCGCAGCCCGCTCCCGTCCCGTCCCGTTCCGTCCCGTCGGGGCGCGGCGCTCCTGGGATGGAGCTTGGGATGCAGAGCCCCCGCTCCCTGCGGCTGGGACAGCACTGCTGTGTCCCATGCGTGGGACACCCACGACAGCACGGTCACTGCCCGAGCCTTGCTTTGTGACCACTTCAGTTCTCCTCAGCTCTAATGTTCTCCTTAGGGTCGCTGCCCCAGCCTTTCTTTGTGACCACATCAGTTCTCCTCAGCTCCGCATCAAATGCTAACATTGTCCCTTTTCCGTTCATTTGAAAGGACTTTTTAAAGGCGATATAGTCCAACCCCCCTGCAAGCAGCAGGGAAATCTTCAGCTAGATCAGGCTGCCCAGAGTCCCGTCTCACCTGGCTTTGAATGTTTCCGGGAATGGGGCATTCACCACTTCTCTGTGCCAGTGTTTCATCAACTTTACTGTAAAAAAACCCCAACTTTTTTCCTTTATAGCTAATCTAAATCAACCCTTTTTTAGTTTAAAACCTTTACCCTGCAGCACTCAGGACACCTGGATATTAAACAAACTGAGGGTGATCTGAATTTCAGGATGGTGGGTATGACAGCATCTGGATTCAGGCACAATTCCTCCTCACAGAGCTGGAGGGAGATTTGAGCAAGAGCTGCTGTGCTGTTCTGTGGCGGTGCATCTCACACATCCACAGATGCACAGATGCAGCACGCTGCCCTTGGGCTGCAGCTGAGCATCACTGACAGCAGAGCCATTCCTGTGGATACCCTGGGCAGCTGCTCCTGCACTGCTTGGAGCTCCTCAGCTCACAACCAGCTCACAACCAGCTCGAGGTTTACCTGCACGTGCTGCAGGCACTGATGCAAAGCCCTGCTGTGGAATTCACATCTGCTTCATACATGATTGAAAGACACTCAGCCCAGCTGAGAACCTGTGGGTGTACAGCTCCATTTACCTGCAGCCACTGTGGGGTTTTACAAAAGGCAAACTGGGGCACACGGAGGGCTGGCTCACACACGAGTGGCCCTGCAGCAGGTTGGGTCTCCATCCAAGAGGAGAATGGGGCAGGAGTCCCCAAGGCCAGCACCCAGTGATGTGAGGGCACTGTGAATCAGCAGTCTGCCTGTTAAAGAACAATAAGACAACTTTTTCTGCTCAGATATTGCATTTAACTGAAATTTGACTGTCAAACAGCATCTGAAGCACTTCAAGGTGGTGTCAGTGCACGGCTCCATGCTATTCCCAGCCCAGGGCTGCAGAGGGAGATGGCTTTGTGCCCTTCATGGGGTTTTTCAGCCCCATAACCATCCACAACCTTCTGCCTTGCCCAGAGATCTGGTCTGCAGGAAGCCACAAACAAATATTCCACCACAAGGAAGTGCTGAGTGCTACCAGCACCTCTGTCTGCTTAGCAGCACCTTGGCCAAAATGTGTTTTCCCTCTCTGAGCACCTTCCTGCAGGTGGACAAGGTGCTGCAACAGGGAAAAGGCTTCTCCAGAATAAAGACAGAATATCTGTGCAAAACATGTGAAACATCCCATGCACAGTGAAACTGCAGTGGAGAAAACAAGGAGATATAAAAGACAGTCACAGCCCCTGCAAGAACAAGAACAAAGGAGGAACAGGGGAAGGAGATTGTTCCAGTAATTGCCTCCCCCAGGTAAGGATGCTGAGCCTGAGCAACGCTGCTGGCACAAAAAAAAATGCTGCTTTTTGATTCATTGTTCACCTAATTTTGCTGCTGCAGCAAATCACATGTAAAATAGTGCATTCCACTGTATAATCAAGATAAACAAGCCAGCTTTTTCATTAGGGGTGTGTGTGCAGATGCATGCACGCTCTGCCCTGTAACAACAGGATGGGTGATGCCAAGAGCACCAAGCCGAGAATGATTTTGGATGCACCAAATTCACCAAATCCAAAGCACAGGCTCCCTGCCAGAATCCTTATTTATAGCACCTGGGCCAGGCCACAGTGATTCCTTCAGTGATTTGGCACACAGGACACTCATCCCATGCCCAGCTGCCCCCAGCAAGCACCTCTGCTCACACTCCCTGTGACAGGGTCACTACAGACCCACTGATGTGGCTTCAGGGTCACATCTCTGCAGGCACAAGGTGCCCATGTTGTCCAGATCCATGGAGAAGCCATTCCCAGGGGCTGGCACACCTCGTGTTTCCCTGCACACTGGGAGAACCGCATCCCTGCCAGGCTGAGGAGGGGCTGCAGCACACAGCCATGAGGATGTGCAGATGGGAGAGAGTTCCTGCATCCAGCACGTGGAAAGCAAAGGAGAAACCTCCTGCTGTTTATCTTTGCCTTAATAAATAGTTAAATCCTGATGCCTCAGCTCAGCCTTTACTCAGACAAAACTTTTCCTGAGCTCCTGGAGATTTTTGCCTCGGGGAAGCCCCATGTCTGATCTTTCTTTCCCCATGAAGAGGCACCACGGCTGTGTTACACGTGGGTAACCCACCATGCAGCATGTTTTACATGCCCCAGCTGCTGCTGCCCTGCTGGAGTGTGAGCTGCAGTGAGGAAACATTGATTTCCAGCCCTGCAGGCTCCTCAGTCCAGCCTGATGTCAGTCCCATCCATCACACCTGAGCAGAGAGAGCCAGGGCAGACATGCCCCGGCTGCTGAAGCACAGCAGCAGCTTGCTTCACTCCACACATTGGATATCTGAGCTTGAAGCTCCTGTGCATCCTCTATCCCAAATGCTGATGCCCAAAGAAGCAGAAATAACTTTGATTAAGCACAAAACTGGCTAAATTTGCTTCCCAGTGAACTCAACAGAGCTATGCTGACATCCCCAAGACCTGGTGCTGCTCTGTGCCTCTGCTGCATGCAGCTATTACAGAGCTCTCCAGGGAGCGGGGAGTGGGATGGGCTTTGCTTATTTTTCAGCACAAAAATGCAAAAGAGAAGCTCAAAGCAGCATTGATTACAAATTTTAGAGGAAAAGGGTGGAGCAGCCATCCAGTTCTTCTGGTTGCCACCACATGTGAAGTCCAACACATCTGCCCCAGATGTTCCACAGCTGTTTTCCTTTCCAATGCCCTGCATTATCCCACTGCCTGCCTTGGCATCGGGCTGCCCACAAACACTTGTTCACATCAGTGTGCAGTGCTGGGAGGTGGCTGAGGGCTACAATGCCGCCAGCAAACCTTGCAAACATTTTGTTGGAAGCATGACAGCTGGGGAGAGACACAAGGAATGGCTGAGAGGAGGAAGGTTTCAAGGTTTCTAAAAGAATCAGCAGCTGAGGTATCAGCAAACACAGATTTAATATAAAAGCAACAGCACAACGAAGTTTGTTGGCAAGGTTCACTCCATTACTTACTAATGGTTAAAGCACAGAAAGAAAAAAAGCAAACAAAAAATCCAATGTCAATCAATCCAAACTGATAGAAACACAACATTATCTATGTGAAGGCTGGGCTGGGGAAGGGGAGACAAAAGGATAGGAGGATAAAAAGGAATACATTCAAAAGGCACAACAGCTCTTCAATAAACAGCATTTAAACTTAACAGCACATAAACCTAACATATTTAACTTATGTTGTAGTTAAGCCAAACAATACAGCAAAGGATTCATATAGGATTTACTATACCACAAGAGTAACTTACCTACAGGCCTAACTTCCTTCCAAATGTAAAATACTTCAGAATCCAGGAGAGCAGCATTCCCAGGACACTTGATGTACCATATGCACACTTGCATGCATACTGTACAAGACACCTGCAAGGAATTCCCTTCAAATTCAGGGAAACACTCACCTGGGATGCCTTTGGTGCCCTGCTGTGCCCAAAAGCCTGTCTGCTTTCTTCACAGCTCATCTGCACCATCAGCTGCTGACCCAGCAAGAGCTCTGTGATTTCTGCCCGCACACCTTGCCTCGCTTTAACCCAGAACATTTACACCTCCTTACACGGGTTTCTAGGTAACTGAAGACAATTTGAAACTCTGCAAGAAATGACAGGAGGTGAGTTTGGGAAATAACAGGCTGCAGCTTCTCTGTAATGGCATTAAAAGAGTCAGAGGATACCAACACTCATCTCCAATGCCACAGCTCCCTCAATGGAAAATGTGCCTGGTTAGCTCTGTGGTGTGAGGCTCTGAGGAGACCCCACTCCTGATGTTCTCCTGATTTCTGCCTGAAAGGAGCAGCACCAGCAGGAGATTTCTCCTATGGAGGTTTACAAGCAGGTTGCTCCCATCTCTTCCCTCAGTCTGTAAGAGAAAAACTGACTCAGTACTGACTTGGAAGAACGAGGGGGACGTGAATGTGAGTAACAGGCATTTGCAAAGATGCATGTGAAGAAACAGCTGGAAGACATTGCCTAAGTTAGCCACCTTCAGACTGAAAAGAAAGGTCTGAATTTACCATCTGCAGATGACATAGGTCAGCACCTCACAGACAGCACCCATGAGCAGCATCCCTGGGACACACACCTGCCATCCCTCATGGAGAACACAGGTTTCCCTGCTCCACCTCCCTGGGAAGTCACCCAGCATCCAAAGAGTTAATCTTGCTCCCCAAAAAGCATCCTGCACTTTTCTTTGGCTACTTACCTTATTTGGAAAGGTGTGGTTTCCCACCCCTGGCATTTCTGCTGTGCCAGAGAAGTGTCAGCTCTTGGTTGCCTCACAGAGGGATGAAACTCTCCCACCCTGATTCCCTCTGCCAGTTCCAGCATGAGGGAAATCCATCCCAGCCCTACAACCTTCATTAGCCTGGATGTAAGCAGACACCTCAGTGCAATAAAAGTTCAGAGCTTATTACAGGCTCTGGGCTGATACCATAGATAATGGTAATTAACTGCTCTGGGATGACAGTAGTTTATTGCTGACTGATTTCTCAATGA